TGAATTTGAATTTTTTTTTCATTTTTTCTTTCCTCCTACCTTTCTTTCTTTTTCGTGCAATAGAATTTAAATGGGAAGCTGTTTAAAAAATGTGTATAATATCCTGAGATTTTTTAAAATATTAATCTCTTTTTTACTTAAAAAACAAGAAAAAAATAATAAAAAATATGACACGATCAGTGGCATTTAAAGAAAAAACCAGCAACGAAGCCAAAAATTCGTAATATTTCGTAAAAAAAATTGACTATTAGGACTTGTTAGATATAAAGACCTTATCTAGAGTAAACGACATAAAATAAAGTTAAAAAAAATTTGATTAGGTTTTAAGTCAGAATTTAAATTTGCAATTATTAGATTTTAAATTTGAATTATTATTTTATTAACTATTATAGTGCTTTATTTAAAATATATTTATTATTATTAAAATATTAATGTAATATTAACATACATTTAATATTATTAAAAATATACTTATTAAATGTTATTGCTTTATTAAATTTATTAAAAAATGCATTGTTCTATATTAAATATGAAGCATATTAATTTAGTTAATATAGTACACCCATGAAAAGTATCTAGTTTTAATAAAATCTTGTTTTATTTTACTAGTGCTAACATTGTTATAGTTTTGTATTATAAAAAATTAAAAAATTGATTTAAAAAAAGCAATACAGAGTGTTTATTATTTATAAGTTTTATTATTATTTTTAAGTTTTCGTTAAAGTTCTACATTACAGGCGAAAAAAATAAAACATATTTTTTGTGAAATACTGAACTAATTTTTTGTGTTTTATCCAATTTGGAAAAGTGTAATTTCATATAAATAAATGCGCCAATTATGTTTTTTTAGCTGTACTACATATTTATATTTATATATGTATATACATATATTTTTTTCTTTTTATCAGTGTATTCATTTATTTACAATATTAGTACGTACTTTCATATTTCAATAAAACAAATGTATAGTATTTTATAACAATAATATAAACAGATAATTGTAAGTAACCCATGAAAAATATTTAGTTTTAATAAAATCTTGTTTTATTTTACTAGTGCTAACATTGTTTTGAATTGCTATAAATACTAGTGCTAACATTGTTATTCTACTTAGCAGAAGTAGGGAATATGGCGCAGATTTTTTGTAGTGGTCTTTCAGCGGTTTTGTAGTGGTGGATGCAGTTATATTCGTTTTCGAGCTACAGCTTGTTAAAAAAAAGGTACCGGACTTTTCCTACATATAAATACATGCTTATAACTTCGGAACCATAGAACATAGGTTATCATTAGGGGATTGTTTTACATGCGATTGATTGTTTTTTTTATTTTTAGTCCTACAATTAATTTGATTTGAGCCATAATTTTCGAGGTACAGCTCGTCAAAGTCAGAGCTTTTGTTTTTTAATTGAAATTTTTTTTACATAACTCGAGATTTCTCGAAAATTTTTACTAATTTTATTATTTACTTTTTGATGAGCTACTAAACCCCCCTCCCTTTGGGGAGACGATTTTTTTTCTGCAAATTGATCAAAGAATTGTCCCTGAAATTTTTTGCCACCTTATGTGACACCTCCTGTGTGATATTTTGTATTTTCATACTAATCAAATTTTAATATTTTCCTATAATCCTTATTTGTTCGTAAAAATTATTTAGTAAAATTGTTTAAAATTATTTAGTAAAATTATTTAAAATTATTTTAAAATGTGAAAATTTTGCTTTTAGTGAAAGTATTTAAAACTATGTACATTTGAAAATGTTTTCAATTTTTTTTTTTTGGCTAATAGTATACGCGCAGTACATTTTTTTTATTCACTGTATGAAAAAAATGTCTCACCTTTATAAAAACTAAGGAAGGCGTTTTTTGAAACTTTTATATTTCATTGAAAAATTCCTCTAGGATGATGACTTTTTTAATATATCGAAAATACGAATTCCAAACTTTTTTTTCATATAAAAATTTTCATAATTTTAGTTTAATTAACTACGCAAAAACTTGACTTAAAAAATAAAAACCTTACTTACTTTCAATTCTCACCCATATCTTGCTTGACATCTTAAAATGGTGGGTGTTAAAAAAAAATTAGAAAAATTCGAAATTATTTTTAATCAAAATTATTATTAAAATTTCAAGTTGAAATATAAATTTTTGACAAATTTGTTCAGGAAAGTCCGTATTTTCTTTTAGTATGAAATCTTTTAGATTTTAGTCAACTTTTCGTATAGAAAACTCAATAGAAATGCAAATAGGCAAAAATCATATATTTCGAAAAAAAGAGCAATAAGAAAAAAATGATTCCTCAGAACTGTTTTTTCGCCAAATATGAAAATACATACTCATCAGTTTTAACAGATCCATTCAGAAAAAAGACGGATCTAATTCTTTAGGAATGTTTTTTTCGCCATAAATTGAAAAGCATGTGCAATTTTAACGGATACATTCAGAAAAAAGCAAGGCCTTGATGTCTTTGTTATGTCAAGGTTTAGTCGATAATTTAAGAAAAAATGCAAAAATCCAATTGAAAAACTGAAATATCCTTTTAATTTTCATTATATAGAAAATGCAAAAATCTTATTGGAAAAATTGAATAACCATTAGAATAAAGGAGAATTCGTAATTAATATTGAATAAAAAGTGAGATAAAAAAACGAGATTACAAGATTTTTGGTATGTTAACATAAAAGGTTTCCCTGGAATAAGAAAGTTTTTAAAAACGTTTAAAAACTTTATAAAATCATAATCATAAAAATGAGAGAAAATGATGACATTCTTTAAAGTGTTTTGAGGTTCTTCTGAAAACGCAGTATGCGTACGCATTTCTAACTTAAAACTAAAAAAACTTTTTCGCATTGATTGACAACTGCAAAAAATTGTCATTTGTTTTGTCGTAGTAAAAAAGTTCTTGCAAATCTTTATCTAAGTCATATTTGAAAATGCAGTTCTACCAATAGTACAAAATTGAAGTTGTTATTTTTTAGACATAAAAAATGGATTTAAGGAAAAAATTAATTAAAAATTATAAATTCGAATATCTTACAGAAGCAAATCGAGATAAGAGTTTAAACTTACGCTAATAAATCTTCTATATCATCATCGTCCATCTTGCTTAATATTCAATTTAAGTTAGCGCAGTTAGAAAATTAAAAATGCGATGTTGCGTGAAGTTTCTGAAATATCTTAATTGCAGTTGTAGTTTTCAAAATGGCTGCTACTGCAGTTCTGAATTTTTAAAAACACTGCTTTGTAGTTGAAGCAGTTCTTATTAAACAAATGTGCTGCAATTTAGTACTAAGTTAGAACTGCATTTTCAGAAAGACCTCAAGTTATGTAAAGTAAAATTTAGTGTTTTAAAAATTTTTAAAATTTTACAGCTGTCGAAACATATGTTTTTCTAGGTTATGTCAGATGGTTTTATTTTTGAAAAAAAAAATTTCCATTTTTTCTTTTTGAGCAAAATTTCCCCATTTTTTCTTTTCTCTTGGATTTCAATATGTATTATTATAACGTATCTATGAATTAATAATAATTATTTTTTCGGTCATGTTTAATTTTGAACTTGTTATTCAGTTTTGGACTTCAAACCTGTGCTAATAAATGGATTTTTCATTTTCCGTAGTCTTAAGTTAACACTTATAGCGTAATCCTCTGTCACTTTTTCAGCGCTGAATCATTGACTTGAACACTGAGCGTGTAACCTTGGGCTATTATGTATAAATCAAAGTATATCTACTTATAAGTAGTTCGACTCTCCGTTTACATCACACTAATGCAATCACTCACCAATATTTGTATACAAAAAATTCCCTCAGTTAAGAGTTAAGCAGTATACCTTCTTATTTTCATTTTTATACACATAAGAATTTTTGGGAGACGAAAAGAGTATGCAATAGATGTCAACCTGTTTTTTTATAATGTATTTTGAAAGGCGACACTTTATTATTTGCTCGTATATAAAGTATAAGGAAAAATATTAAGAATTTTAAAAGCGACACAATAATTTCTGTAATTCATTCCAGTACAAGGTGGTAAAAAAGGTGTATTCATATTATAAAAGCGAAGCGGAAAAAAAGTGAAAAAATTTAAATAAAAAAAATTATTATAATTTATATGAAAAATAATAAAAATAAATTTTAAAAAGACGTATAATATTAAAAACAATTTTAAGTAGTTGTGAAAAAAAATTTTTTTTTTATAATAATGGGTAAACATTATTTGAAGTGTTTGGGATGTAATATTGTGTGTGAGGCAAAAAAGCCGACACGAAAATTTCATTTGTTGCCAAGAGATGTGGAGAGGTAAATATGTACTTTTGAAAATATTTTAAATTTTTAGTGTTAAGCATTTGTTATTAATAATTATTATTAATAAATAAAATAAATAAATTATTATTAAATTTTTTATTTTTATTTCAATCTTAATACATTTAAAACATATTTCCTATGAATCGGTAATGATTATATTTCATAAAGTATTAATCAGTACGCATACACCTTTTTTCCTTTATAAGTTACTTTACTTCTATGTCACTACCTGATACTGTGTATCTACTGTACCAGGTACATGCATGTGTACATTCAGACATGAAATTTCAAACTCTTTTGCTTTCATACATTCGAATTTTTTACCCAACTTTAAAAAATGAAAAATAAATTTTGTTATCATCAAAACAAAAATAACATTTTTACCTAACTTAATTTAATTTTATTTCAGTTCATTGTTTTTGATACATTCGTTTGTTTTCAATATTTTGTTCCTTTCTTGCCTATACAACTCTTATTACCATATATTTCTCAAAAAAAAAATGGAATATTTTAAGAATTTGGAAGCAAGATGAAAAAGAAAACTAGCGGAATGGAACGAGTCGAATTACTTATTAGTAGATATACTTTGGTATAAATTTTGACAAATAATTTTAGCAAATTATTCACATACGTTATTCATATTGGCAACGATTACCAAATGTCAGTGTAAAAGTCGAAAGTGTAACAGCTAAAAATAAAGTGTGATTCATTGCTGTCGACCTGTAGTAAAATAATTATATCTTGGAAAAAATAAATTATTTAGTTGTGTAGAGGGTGTTAGTTTGTTCAAACTGCTTCTTTAAATTTATCCTACAAAAAAAGAAAAATAAAAATGTCGGAAGGAGTTAAAAGAAATATTCCAATAAAATTAGGAGATTTTAGCGTTATCGATACTGAATTTTCTAGTATTAGAGAAAGATTTGATGCCGGTATATGTGTATTTTAAGTTGCAGCGATATACAAAATTAATAAATTTAATTTTTAGAAATGAGAAAAATGGAGGAAGAAATGTCTAAATTTCGACACGAATTGATGAATCGTGAAGCGAATTTTTTTGAATCAACGAGGTGAGTTCATATTACCTATTTTAAGAAATAAATTCTAAATGCAACTAATATTGGCACAGTCATCATTGTGTTCACGATATTTTGTGTGGGTGCAAAAATTTGAGTCAGTAGGAGTTTTCTTAATATGGCATTCAAATGTTTAATAATATTTGTATCTAAATATGTATGAAGTATTATTTTAATGCTCATTATTGAATTATACATTTTTAATTATTAATTCGAAAATATAATATGGTATATGTATTAATGTATATGTATACTATATAATTTAGTATGAAAATAATTGCCCATAGATTGTATTTATATCTAATACTGTTGTTAAAATAATGTTTCCAGCCACTTCAAATAAATTTTTGGTTCTAAACCTTAAAACTTTTAGGTTTTTGAATAGTAGATCAATGTCATAACAAATGCTGCTAGATTAATTTACGTTTTTATGTCACAAAAAAAAAAATTTATAAACAAAATTCTTAAACATATATCACTTTTGTACATTGCAGCTCCTCAAATACTCAAAATAATACAGCATTAACTCAAAGACCGAAAGCAAATTATATGTCAGATCTGAACTCCCCACTGATACAGGTAATATACACTCATATATGTAACTATATTATTTATATGGTGAATAGCTCTCTATCTACCTAATTTCTCGCAGTTATTAATTTTCATATAGGTAACAATACAATACATTATATTTAAAAAAGTAGATAATATAATTTCATAATATTTTACGTACATAACTAAAAATTTAAAAATAAAAAAGATTCTGATCTGAATTTTTATATTAAAAAAAATCGTACAATTTTTTTTTCCTTTAATCATAATGAGTTTAAATAAAAGTTTAAAAATAACATTTTTTTGTAAAAATTGAATGAAATATTTCAACAACTTTTGAAAAAGAATAGAATAGTCTTACAAGTATGTTTACCAGAGAAAAATATAATTGTCGTCATGTGTTTATTAGGAGTTTTGTTCCGACAAAAATTTAGATATAATTTACTGTTTAAGTATAAATGCCCCGCTTCATTAAATATAATCGTGAATTAATTATATAAGAAAATGCACTTATTTAATTATAATATTTCATTTTATGTATCGAAAATTTTATGTACTGGGCAAAAATTTATTGAATGCACCTTTATCATTATTCTGGGATTTAAACTTGGGATGTTTTCTTTTCGCAGTTAAATAGCCCAAAAAAGTTTTCAATGGTGTTTTACCCGAAATACCAAAAATGTAGATATCAGGCTCTGATTACAAAACCCTAGATATGGAGATACCATTTGAAAAAAAAATTTGGAATTTTTGGAATAAAGCATAGTTTTGACATTTTTAGAATATTGTCATTTAAAATTTGCGACACTTTCCGTATGAAATAATACAATTTTTTATAAATAACTGTATTATAACTTATATTATGCATATATAAATGTCAATTTAATTCAAATATTAACTTCTTTTAGGAACCTAAAAAGGAAAAGCGAAAATTTAGTGAAATGGTTTAAAAAATTAGCACTTTTAAATGTTGCTACTAAGTATTACATAGCAAAAATTTTAACATATTTTTCTATATCAAATTAGATATACAATTTCCCAAATGTTTTTAATCATGCGTTAACTTGTATGAAAATAATACATACTTATGTATGAATATTGACAAAAATATGAAATATAGAAATGAATATGTGCAGATGTTTCATTTTCAACTTGAAACGTATAGTTTCAAAAGCTATCTAGATTATAATTATTATTTTTTTGCATTTTTCTTCAATTTATTTTTAAATTCTATTTTTTATTCAAAAATTTTACTCTGCAATTCAGTACCCTTCAATTTGGAAGACAAAAAGGGTCTGCGTTGATTTTTATGAAATTTAAATTTTAAATTTAAAGAAATATGTAGAATTTGTAGTGCCAAAAAAATTGTTCAGTATCCTTCAAACAAATAAATTTTGATGCACCCTCCATTTAAACTCCATGTAAATTTGGAATTTATTTTTGATTTGCTCTCTGAGCTTGATGGGCTGTAGATATATATGGCATTACGTGATATTAATACCTATGTGGTATGTATGTATTGTGATTGTGTATCTCGCTTTTTTGTCAATCAGATTTTTTTTAGACCCTTTGAAATCTACATTCTCATTTTTTAAATTGGATTTTCTTATTACTCAAAATATCCTCAGACTAATAAATAAAATAGAAATAAGATCTTTTTTATTATTTTAAACAGGAAGATGGTGAGAGCAAAGTATTGAAGTTAAGATTTGATGTTAGTCAATATGCCCCCGAGGAGATAGTTGTTAAAACTGTTGACAATAAATTATTGGTAACAAGTTTTGATTTTAAGTAATTATTAATTTCAAGCTACATAAATTGTTAATGACAGGTTCACGCAAAACATGAAGAGAAATCTGATACAAAAAGCGTCTATCGCGAATATAATAGAGAGTTCCTCTTGCCCAAAGGAGTTAACCCAGAAGCAATTAGATCTTCTTTAAGCAAAGATGGTGTTTTAACAGTTGATGCACCTTTGCCACAGCAGTTGACAGCAGGCGAAACTATGATTCCAATAATGCACAAATAAAATAGATAATTTAATAACAACGAAAAATTTTTAGATTGTTTTTATATCTTTTAGTGCTGTAAATTCAATATCAAATTTTTATAAGCATTTATCTCATTCAGCGCAATAAAATTTTAAATTATTTTTTACAACAAATAATTAAAAAAAACTTTACAGTGAATTTAATACTAAATAAAAGTAACATTTTTTCTACATTTTGCATTGATTTCACATGGGTTGAATTTGCATGCACGTTTTTTTACATTTTGGAACAAGTTGCGTGTTGTAATTTAAAATTTCATGTTTAAATTAATGTTTCTATTTATAACATTTTTTAGTTTTATTAACCATATTCCTTAATTTCATAAATTGCTTAATAAAATTCGTTACTTAGTTACAGTGTTTCTTTTGCAATACGTCTTTTTTTTTAATTTTAATTGCTTAATTTAAATTTACTGCAGAGATGTTAATGAGGCATATATGATCTTCGTTTCTTGCCCATACTCTGGTAGTTGCGTCAAATGGTAAACGTAATATGAAGTGACACCATTTCTAATAGGAATAATTTGGAGCTCAATATGGGTTTCTCTAGGAGGCTTTATTACAGGTTTAATAGACCAATTTTAGAAAGGGCTAAAAATTTTTAATCTTGTTCTTCGTGGTATGAATTAGTCGGATACGCTTAGGCTGTCTCTTTATGGGAGTACGTTGTTGTAGGGTAGTTTTCAATATATTTTTATTAATTCGAATTTCTTACATAGAAAATCCGAGTAGCTTAAAGTTGGTTGAACCTTTCAATGTTCCGCGTCATAGTATGGACTATATGAAGTATGAGCCGGTGAAGCGTATTTTGCGCAAAGCTAACTTGAATTCGTTTGTTTTTTTGCATCAACATAAGTAAGAGGGTGCTAAAAGTTAGACTATACGGCAGCATTAATTTTGTTCAAGTTATTCTTAATTAACACAGTAGTTTTTCCCTCTTGTATTTGGCTGTTTAATTTTTAATTTACTTAATATTAAATTAATACTACTAATATGTATTATTTTTGCTTGCCCTTTTGTTTTCTTATCCATCTGTAAATTATGACGATTTTAGTTATAGTTAGAGATATCCCCGTTTCTTGGCTAAGTAATGTTTATTTTATTATACTAAATGTTTTTACAAAGCCATCGTCTGATACATCACGTCTAAGTCCTATTCTAGTAGTCGAAAATGCGATAGTTGAAGTGGTAGCGACTTTTTGACGTGGTTGCAAATTTCAAAAAAAAAAAGAATTTATGGAAACTACACAAGAATTTGAGCTTTGTTTTCATATTCACAACTTTTTTTGGACAATTTGTATTTCAATTTCTTGTTTGCTTTCATTATCACATTCCATTGTCGAGGATAATAAGTTTATTGGAGGAGTGGCGGAATATTTCAAATTGAAAATTTGATAAATACCCTCATAAAACACTACTGCAGTTTTTTTCATATAATCGGCTTAGTGCAACTTTGGTCATACATTTTTTGAATTGAGAAATCCGCGCTTGTAATTTAGCAACATTTTATTTTGGACGCTGTACGATGATTTTTTCAATTTTTTCCACTAGCTTTATTATAGCCTTTAACTTTTTAGCGAAAATTTTTAGTTCATTTCAATTCAAGTTTACATATGTACATAAGCCGAAATTAAACTTAATTGGACTAAGAAATTTGACTAAAATTTGAAGGTTTTTCTTATAAAACATATACATATTTCAGTTAATGATATAGTGATTTGGTCTTAAAGTTTGTAGTTGTAACTATTTGAAGGAGTGAATACGCTCGCACAATAATATTAATGAATAATGAATATCTCAAACGCAAAAAGTAGTGATGAGAGCTATCAAATATTCATTATCGAATAATTCGAATTCTTATGAAAAATGTATCATTGAAAGTAATAGTTATAAATTTAAAATTTCATACTTTGTTATACGGTACATACCTATTCAGGGAGATACACAATATGATGTTGTAACATGTACTCCGTTTATATGATACACTCGTTTGTCTACAATATTTTGTTTCTTTCTTGCCTACACAACTCTTATTACCATCTACTTCTAAATAAAATGGAATATTTTAGGAATTTGAAAGCAAAATCGAACGAGTCGAACTATTTATCATAGATATATGTACTTTTATTCAAACGCTCGATAGTTCAAAACGTTCGATTGTGTCCATCATCAACAAAAACACCGCCTAACTGTAAAAAAACTTTTTAAACAAATGGTTATACCTACTACGTGTTATGTACGCATTTCCTTATAATTTGGTATTTAAGTGAAAGTATATTTGCACTTGTACATATATTGTATTTCTAACAAACATAAATATTTTCTAAAATTTTTCTCATCAAATATCTTTTTCTTCTAAAATCACAAGCCAAACATCGGAACTAGTCCCATACATTAGGACTATAAGGTATAAGAAAATTTTTAAAAACTTATAAAACCCAATTTATAAGAATTGAACTAAGACCTGATGTTACCGTTTGCGTTTACTATTAAGACTCATACACAGGCAGGGCCATTTTATAAATAGATTACTCTTGTTTACCTGCTAATAAAATTTGAAAGAAGTGCACAACAAAATGTTTGAAGCACTCAATATAACATGTTTGAAATAGTTTTATTAACATGTGAAATAAAATAATATTCAAAAATAAAAAAATATTTAAATCCGGTCATAAAAATATATGATTGTTTTTTCCAAACATTTTAAATATTTTTTTTCTTAGTTAGTTGATATAAATGATAGTAAGTTTTTAATATTTTTTCAAATAAAAATAGAGGTAAAATTTTGAAGTTTATATGAAATTTGCATTTGACAAATAATATTTGATTGTATTTTAGATATTATTTTCTAATTCCCTCTTCAAATTTTTTCTTTACTATGTATTTATATCAATATTTAAGAATTATATTTCATTAATTATATTTTCAACTTGACACCATAGTTACTCCCCATATCTTGAGTTAACTTACCCTATGAGAAAAAAAAGCTGTTCACTTAAAAACAATGAAATGCTTTCAGTAACATATAAAACGTTGAAGGCGAAGGATATGCTTGTTGTTTTTCCGCTTTTTTTTTTAAATTTTAAAATAATTATCAATGAAAATATTAATATATTTTTTTGATTTTTCAAATATATTTTCTAAATTTTACCTGCTTTATAATAAGTGTGAATTTATTTTAATATTTCTTCTCCAAAAATAGCTACTTCGATTTAAAAAGACCCATATAAAATAAGATCGTGCTTTCAAGTTTCTCTCTGAGTGTTGGACTTGTTAGATATAAAGATATTAGTTTTATGAATACGTGAGTAGATATTTAAGCTTTTTAGGACCAGCTTTTTAAGAATGAGTTTTGAAATGAAATCCTTAAATGAAATCCTTAAGCAATGATGAGTTTTCGAAAAAAATCCTTAACTAATGCTATCAACAAACCCAAATTGGAATGGCATATATTATACAAAAATAAATTCACAAGGCTAATTAAAGTAAATATCAGAATTCACACCTGCAGCTAACATGATGAAAGCATCATGTTAGTTGCAGGTGTAAATTTATCCAAAAGGGATTCAAATGCGTAGGTGTGATGAACAAAATAAAAAAAAAATAGAAGATAACATAAATATTATTAAAGAGCTGCCCCTTTTTACGCTGCCCTTCGAAAATTCCATACTCATAAATAAAATATACAAATGAAAATAACTTCTGCATATAAGAGTTAAAGTTGAGTCTCTTGGAACTAATGGGTCAATTCATCAATGCAAGAGATTTCAGAGTTTCGAACATTTATTATTATTATTATTATCATTATTATTATCATTATTATTATTATTATTATTATTATTAATATTATTATTATTATTATTATTATTATTATTATTATTATTATTATTATTATTATTAATATTATTAATATTATTATTATTATTATTATTATTTTTATTATTATTATTATTATTATTATTATTTTTATTATTATTATTATTATTATTATTATTATTATTTTTATTATTATGATTATTATTATTATTATTATTATTAATATAATTATTATTAATATTATTATTATTATTATTATTATTATTATTAATATTATTATTATTAATATTATTATTATTATTATTATTATTATTATTATTGTTATTATTATTATTATTATTATTATTATTATTATTATTATTATTGTTATTAATATTATTATTATTAATATTATTATTATTATTATTATTATTATTATTATTATTTTTATTATTATTATTATTATTATTATAATTATTATTAATATTATTATTATTAATATTATTATTATTATTATTATTATTATTATTATTATTATTATTATTTTTATTATTATTATTATTATAATTATAAACATAATTATTATTAATATTATTATTATTATTATTATTATTATTATTATTATTATTAATATTATTATTATTAATATTATTATTGTTATTATTATTATTTTTATTATTATTATTATTATTATTATTATTATCATTATTATTATTATTATTATTATTATTATTATTATTATTGTTATTAATATTATTATTATTATTATTATTATTAATATTATTATTATTATTATTAATATTATTATTATTATTATTATTATTATTATTATTATTATTAATATAATTATTATTATTATTATTATTATTATTATTATTATTATTATTATTATTATTATTAAATATTATTATTATTAATATTATTATTATTATTATTATTATTGTTATTTTTATTATTATTATTATTATTATTATTATTATTATTAATATAATTATTATTAATATTATTATTATTATTATTATTATTATTAATATTATTATTATTAATATTATTATTATTATTATTATTATTATTATTATTATTATTATTATTATTATTATTATTATTATTATTATTATTATTATTATTATTGTTATTATTATTATTATTATTATTATTATTATTATTATTATTATTATTATTATCATTATTATTATTATTATTATTATTATTATTATTATTATTATTATTATTATTATTATTATTATTATTATTATTATTGTTATTAATATTATTATTATTATTATTATTATTAATATTATTATTATTATTATTAATATTATTATTATTATTATTATTATTATTATTATTATTATTAACATAATTATTATTTTTATTATTATTATTATTATTATTATTAATATTATTATTATTAATATTATTATTATTATTATTATTATTATTATTGTTATTTTTATTATTATTATTATTATTATTATTATTATTATTATTATTGTTATTATTATTATTATTATTATTATTATCATTATTATTATTATTATTATTATTATTATTATTATTATTATTA